CCGCCAGTGAGCTTAGGAGTCCCACTTCTGGGTTGCGCCGCTGCTGCAACACACTGCTAGTGAGCTTGGGAGGCATTTAAATATCTCCCAAACTTATTTGTGTTGTGCTGTGGCACAATTCAGAAGTGGGCTCAGGAGGTATTTAAATGCCTCCTGAACTCCCTTGTGGGCATGGCACAGTAGTGGCATAGCTTCAAAGGGTTCCCTGGGCACCAGCATGTCTGACCCACAGACCGCCCCGACGGACCAAATGGACTGCTGTAAAAAATCGCAGTCCATGGGCGGTCTGTCAAAACTGCAAATGCACGGAGTAGGCAAACGAACCACAAACCATGTTCCGGCTCATTAAGAAATTAGGTCTGTGGACTGGTTTGTGCCCATCCCTATATACAAATCTTACTATGAAGAGCATATTATCAATTAATGTTATGTCACATAGACTGCATTGCTGTATTTATATGTAAGCATACAAACCCCATAATCAACAATTAACAATATTTTTCCATGCACCTTAATAATATTTATGTAGTACTATTTTAAAAATTTGTACTACTGGAGAATTTTAGCAATTAATCGTAAATATATGTATGTCAGAAAACCAGGGGGAAAACACTGCTGTCTTGTACCATATGTCTAACAGCAGGAAGAGGTAGGAGATCTGTCTGACACAAACACAACTTAATCGTGTTGAAGCAATGTTAATAAGTGATGCCCAGCATTTGTACACCCAAACCGAATACTGGCCAGGCCCAGTGCATCAGAAGGGAGATAAATATTTTAGAACATACAACATATTTTGTGATGGTACTCGTCATATGCATGAGATAAACCTACAGCCTTCTGCTATCATGATCTCTACTTCAAATGACTTTTTAAAAATCTGAAGCCTTTCCTTTCAATTCTGTTGTTATAAACCAGTCTTAAGAAATTCTGATGCAGTTTTTTTTTTGCAATCTTCATCAAAGGAGGACATGATAACTATAATAGTTACGAACAGATGCTCTAAAATATTTGACTATGTTACTGTTCTAAAAGGTAAAGGTAAAGGTTATCCTTGCTCGAAAGCTAGTTGAATCTGACTCTAGGGGGTGGTGCTCATCTCCATTTCTAAGCCAAAGAGCCAGCGCTGTCTGAAGACTTCTCCATGGTCATGTGGCTGGCATGACTAAACGCTGAGGTGCACAGAATGCTGTTACCTTCCCACTGAAGCGGTACCTATTTATTTACTTGCAATTTCCTGCTTTCGAACTGCTAGGTTGGCAGGAGCTGGGGGCAGAGATGGGAGCTCACTCCATCATGCGGCACTAGGGTCTCGAACTGCTGAGCTACAGACCTTCTGGTCTGCAGCTCAGCATCTTAACCTCTAAGCCACTGCGGCCCCTAGCTACTGTTTACCATACAACTTCCTTTGCCTCACCTGAGTCCTTTTTCATGACCTGTTTGTTTGAACATGTTGACTGAACATTTTCCGCCCATGGTTCTGATCCCATCCTTGTGACTTGCCACTTTGCCTCTACCTTGTTCATTGAATACAGTTTGTAAGCAAGGATCAGAGCAAGAATCACAGCTCCCTGTAGCCCAAGAACACTGTGATAAATAAAGCTAAACAGATAGTCCCGGCAAGCCTGCTCTCTTCAGATCTTGGGAGCTAAACAGGCCCTGGAGAGCACATGGATAGGGGACCACCAAGGAAGTCCCAGGTTGCTATGCAGAGGCAGGCAATGGCAAACCACCTCTGAATGTCTCTTGCCTTGAAAACCCTATGAAGTCGCCATAGGTCAGCTGCAAGTTGATGGCATTTTACACAAAGACAGGCACACAGAACAGCTGGAGTTCTGGGGGGACTCTCCTTGAAAGAAGGAGGAAGGAGGGAAAGCCGAAAGCCAGTGTGGTGAACTAACTGAAGGATCTGGGAGACCCAGCTTTGAATCCCTGTTCCGGCACGGAAGCTCACTGGGTGATGCTGGGCCAGTTACAAGCCTAAAATGCCTCAAAAGGTTGTTCTGAGGATAGAATGAAAGGCAAAAGGATGATGTGAGCTGCTCTAGGTTCTCATTGGGGGAAACGGTGGGGTACAAATGAAGTAAACAGATATTAAATAATGCTGAAGACTTAAGGGGCAGATATAAGAAAGGTTTGCTGCTGAGGGGGAAGGAGAGAAGGAAGCAGGGAAAGGTGGGAGATATGGGGGCTGCCAGAAGGTGAGAATGATGAAATAGTGTGGGAAAGGGGACACAGGAGGTAATGAAGTAACCCTGCAAGTCCATGCAGGTTCCCTGCTCCCAAAAGTACAACTGTGAAGCATGGAAAGCTAAATCAGATCCTTATTATAATCAGACATTAGGCAGTTGGCACTAATATCCAATTTTACTATACTTTATTGCTTTCAAACTTGCTTGAGCACTCAGGCATAAACAATGCTAATGTCCTAATAAAACTGTGGCTACAGCTTACTCCCCCCGCAATTTTATATACTTGGTGGTGGCAGCATCAGCTGGGAATAACCTCTAACACAGTCTATAGTATCATACTCATATCAGAAGAAAAACACTTCCTTTATTCAGTTAACATCTATTCTTTCTAGCAAGAGGCAAAGCTTCAAGAAGCCAGTAGATCTATGTGCATTTAGCAGCCACATCTGCCTTTTAACAACATAATTCCCCAACAACTGAGCTGCCAAAATGTAAGAGCTAAATGGCACATCAACAGAGAGCTCACTTACAGCTACGCTGCAAAGGGAATAGCAAGACATGTGCAAGCATCGCAGCTATGACACAGAGTAGTGGATCTCACGAGATGCCAAGCCATCCTCCAATACTTGGCATCAAATAGCAAAGCAAAACAATGAAGGAGTGTAAACAACCTTAGGAAAAACGTCTTTGTAATGTGCTCCTTGACTTTCTATTCAGTGTAGACTTAACAAAAGAGAGAAACGTGCCCTGGAATAGGTCTAGATGTGTAAGACATTGCAGCTCCTGGTTATAGCCTAATTTTTAAAATTGGTAAAGGCTGCTAAAGTGCTTTCCAATATACAGGAAGATAATACACAACTAATTACTTAGAAGAACACCTGACATCATAACAACAAGCTTTTGCTCTTTGAACTACAATCGAAATGATTTGGCTTGGAAGTGTTATCTTGCATCTTCATTCTACAGAATATATAACGGAGTTATCTGAACTATCCTCCAGTGTAATGAAGGGATATTGTGAAGCCCTACAAATAGGAGGGAGGGACAAAGAAAAGCAGAATGCCTAGCTCTACAGCCTTGCTGTCACACTTCCTTCTGTTCCATTCCTCTCCCCTCTGCTTTCCTGAGACCATCATGGCCTGACCCTCTTGTCCTTTGTTGGCCATGTCTTGGGAAACAAGATTTCTATGTCCATCTTTAAAATGAGCCCAAGAAAGGTGACTGCTACAATCTGTGAAATCAAAGGCCTTAGTCGAAACCTTCATTTTCAGCATTTCTTAAATTGAATTCCTACAAATATTTCCTTTGTAGTACACAGAAAATCTCTGCGCCTGGCCTCCCGACTGGATCGGTTACACCCAGATCGGGCAACCCCGGAGGCCCCGGGCACCGAGACGTACGAGCCGGCCAGAGGGTTCTTTCCAGAGGACCCGGTGTACGCCCGAAACTACGGCCGGGGGCCTCAATGGATCCCAGCCCGAGTCATACGGGTCAAGGGCCCCCGTTCATACGAGGTCTCCAGCGAGGACGGCCAGATCCTCCACCGGCACATAGATCAGCTGCGCCGTCGCACGCTACAGCTGGACCCTGAGGATCCGGACGAGGACCCAGAGCCTGCCACATCGGCCCCACTCCCGGCACCGGATCCACAGCCGCCTCTCCGTGAGGAAACCGAGGCGCCTCCCACCGTGGTGCCAGACTGTCCTGCCTCCTCGGCGCCCTCGTCGGTCCCAGGCCCCTCGGCTCCCAGGGCCCCCGAGACCGAACCCATCGCTACCCCGGAGCCCCGACGCTCGACGCGCCCCAAGAAGCCACCCGCCTACTTGAAGGACTTCGTCTGTGGGTGCCTTCTGAACCAAGGGGGGAGGGGTGTAATGTATTCAGCCTGACATGCCCGGACTTGCCCGGGCTGGCCAGGCACAACTCTTCAATAGCTTCATGTCCAAAGACAATGGGTCCGTAGGATCCTAGCCGGCCCAATCAAAGGGCCAGCTTCTCAGCCGGGAGACCAATGGTCGCCCGGTTACTGTAAATAGCCTATCGGGAGTAGGGGGTGTGTTTAGGTGTACTTGGTGGCGGGTTTTCTGAACCTATATAACCAGCCTGCGAGCTGGTCCCTTCGTCTTTGTCCTGAACTAAATAAAGGTATGCTTAGCTGAAATCACTCTCCGTCTGCATACTTTTCACTAGCTCACAGTTTTTTAGCCTCTGGCTCACACATTTTTTTGTCTCAGCTCAGGAAGGAGGGCTCCAGAGCAAACTGATTTATGCAGCAGCCAAATCGCTTGTTCACAACTTGAATGCCAGGAGCTCACAAGACTCCACAGCTTAGAGGGAGCATTGCTTAGCAATCTGTGTCTTCTTTTTTTAAAAAAAGTTCAGCCACACCTAGAAAATCTTTGCACACACAGATCAAACATTTCTTTCCCTTCCTCAAGGAGGAAAAGGTGGGCATGGAATTGGCTGGCAGGAACATCTCTCTCAGCATGTAGAAAATGCCTAATTTCGCAACTGAAAAAACTTCCCTTTCCACACACACACCGGAGGGCGCTTTACAAAGGCACATTGGGAACACATTCAACTCAACTCCTTTCCCTCCAACTGTGCCTAAGGAAAAAAAAATCGGGGGGGGGGGATTTCCTGCAGAGTTGGGTGGGCTTGCAATGCTTGGGGTATGCCCCCTCCCCCAAAGTACTTTTCCTCGGCCACCCTTCCCTTCCCTGCAAACTGCTTGGAGAGGCACTTGGGGGTGGGGGGGAATTCATATCTCTCTCTCTCTCTCTCTCTCTCTCTCTCCACACCCAGTTTGGCTTCTCTGACATCATCCGCGGCTGCTCCGGGAGGCAGGCGAAGGAAAGGACTTCCCAAAGAGCCACACTCTCCCTGCCTCCTCCTCCTCGTCCGGCCCCCATCAGCTTCGCTCCGGCCCCAGCGGTGAGTGGTCACAGCCTCGGGAAGGAGGGAGGCGGCGGGTGGGTGAGAAACTGGCGTGCGGGGGTGGGGGGAATATCCCAGGGATGATTTTCTTTGTTAAAAAGGATGAATCTGGAAGCCAGATGGGGGGAGGAGGAAGGGGGGGGGCAGAAGGAAAGGGAACTCCACCAGCAGAAGTGCTTTGCTGACAAAGAGAAGGGAAGAATGGAGGGTTTTTTTGGGTTTGGGGGAAGTCTTTGCAACTTGGGACAAAAACAACTTCACACCAGAGAATCCCCTCCTCTCCAGAAATGGGCAGGCGGGATTGCTTTCTGCAGTTCTGTCAGAGGTGGGTGGGGGGTTTGCTTTTCAAACTCCCCCAAAACAGCAGCTGCAGAGTGGGGGGGGGGGGGGGAAGAGATGCGGCGCGGGCGAGCGTCGGATGATTTCCCCCCTCTGAGAAAGAAAGGAACCGGTTTGTGTTTGGGATGGGAGAGCGGGATTCTCTGCTCGCAATGCGTTTCTGTTTTGAAAAAAGTTTCCGGCTATCACGGTTTTAAGGCGAGAAACAGCGCGAGAGTCACTTTTTAAAATATATACAGATCTTTTTTTTTTCCTTCCTGGCGCAGAAGAGTAGCTATTTTGCTGGCGATTTGGCCCGCGGAGGGTTAAGAGGGATTGGCTGAAACATTTTCAAAAATTTTTATTGGCTATCGGCCCCCTCTAGTGGGGCGAAAGGGGATTGCCGTGACATTTAGCAAAGATCTCCCTGCCCTGAAAAAACGGTGTTTTGTCTCTCTCACGGTTGCCAATCTCCAGGCTGCTGCTGGAGATCTTCCACTACGACTACAACTGATCTCCAGGTGACAGGCATCAGTCCGCCTGGAGAAAATGGCTGCTTTGGAAGGTGGACAATTGCACCCTATTGAAGTCCCTCCGCTCCCCAAATCTCACCCCCTCTCAGGCTCCATTTCCAAAATCTCCAGGTATTTCCCATCTTGGAGCTGGCAACCAATGTTCCCTGTAAGCTGAGTTAGTGTGAGCTAGCTCACCGTTTTTTAGCCTCCAGCTCAGACATTTTTGTCTTCACTCAGGAAGGAGGGCTCCAGAGCTCCATTGCTCGCTCACAACTTGAATGCCAGTAGCTCAGAAAGTGGAATTTTTGCTCAGAAGACTCCACAGCGTAGAGGGAGCATTGCTTGCAAGTAGTGTTCCCTCTAAGCTGAGTTAGTGTGAGCTAGCTCACAGTTTTTTAGCCTCCAGCTCACACATTTTTGTCTCAGCTCAGGAAGGATGGCTCCAGTGCAAACTCATTTATGCAGGAGCCAAATCGCTTGCTCACAACTTTCATGCCAGTAGCTCTCAAAGTAGAATTTTTTGCTCACCAGACTCCACAGCTTAGAGGGAGCATTGCCATGTTCCCTCTAAGCTGAACTAGTGTGAGCTAGCTCACAGTTTTTTAGCCTCTGGCTCACACATTTTTGTCTTCGCTCAGGAAGGATGGCTCCAGTGCAAACTGATTTATGCAGGAGCCAAATAGCTCGCTCACGACTTTAATGCCAGTCACTCAGGAGACTCCACAGCTTAGAGGAAGGATCGCAAATGGGAATACTAGCTTCTGATGATTTTTTTTAAAGGGGGGGTTTATTGCTTGTCTTCATTCTGAAACATCTGAAGTTGATTCTCACATTATTGTTTCAGAGGGAAGCTGTGTTGGTCTACAGCAGGGCTCTAGTGAAGAGCTGGAGTCCAGGAGCACCTTCGAGACTAACACTATTTTGTGGCAGGGAGGAGCTTTCGTTGAGTCCCTGTTCACTTCTTCGAATACGGCTAGAATCTGTCCTTACGTCTTGGAGAGTGGAGCGATCTCAGATACCAGGACCGACGGACTCCCATTCTAGCTGTATCCGAAGAAGTGAGCCGTGACTCATGAAAGCTCCTACCCTGCCAAAAAGGGTGTTTGTTTGTAAGGTGCTCCTGGACTCTGCCTCTTTTCTAGATTTTCAGGATATAAGCTTTTTTTGGTGTGTGACTATTTGTGTGTGTGTGTGCACGCGTGCGTAGCTGCCTGCCTGGAAGTTGTGGTTGACTTCTGGTGACTTCTGGCCACCTCTAGCGAGGCTTGGACATTTCAGAGAGGTGGCTTTGATATTGCCTGCCCCTGCCTCCCGGCCTTGGTATTCCTTGGAGGTCTCCCATCCAAGTACTTGCCGGGGTCGGCCCTGCCTAGCTTCTGAGATCTGACGAGATTGGGCTTGCCTGGGCTATCCAGGTCAGGGTGGGGTATAAGCTTTAGAGAGTCAAAGCTTTGTATCTGACGAAGGGAGTGTTGTCTCTTGAATGCTCACCACCAATGCTCCCTCTAAGCTGTGGAGTCTTGTGAGCGGAAATTCTGCTTTGTGAGCTGCCGGCATTAAAGCTGTGAGCGAGCGATTTGGCTCCTGCATAAATTAGTTTGCTCTGGGGCCCTCCTTCCTGAGCGAAGACCAAAATGTGTGAGCCGGAGGCTAAAGAACTGTGAGCTAGCTCACACTAACTCAGCTTAGACGGAACACTGTGCACCATTGTTCCCTCTAAGCTGCGGAGTCTTGTGAGCAAAAATTCTACTTTGTGAGCTGCCGGCATTCCAAGTTGTGAGCGAGCGATTCGGCTGCTGCATAAATTAGTTTGCTCTGGAGCCATCCCTTCCTGAGCTAAGGCAAAAATGTGTGAGCCGGAGGCTTAAGAACTGTGACCTAGCTCACACTAACCCAGCCTAGAGGGAACCACCGCTCACCACCACCCAAAATCATGCTGGTCTCGAAGGACCTATCGGACTGGACTCTCACGTGTTACAGGTTCCCATCTGCACTCAAATTACCTCCCTTAGCCGAATCCCCGTGGAAATGTAATGTGTGAACCCATGATACAAATTAATTCCTTCCCCACCAGGGGATGTATTTGCAAGCTACGCAGGGTGGACTCGAGAAATTCCACCTGCATTCCTCCGAGCGGCTGACTGGCGTAGTGTTGCCAACTCCAGGTTGGGAAATTCCTGGAGATGGCGCCTGGGGAGAGCAGGGTTTTCGGGAGGGGAGGGGAGGGAACCCCGGCTGGGTACAATGCCACATCGTCCACCCTTCCGAATCTGACATGCAATCTGGAGATCCGCTGTAATCCCTGAAACTCTCCAGGCCACGCCTGGAGGCTCAGCAACAAGCACACAGGGAACACGGCTGAGTTAGATAAACACAGAAAACACCGTGTTGAAATAATAAACACAATATTCACATGTACTTATAGCTAAATATATTTGCCTTTTATACACAACATCAACTCTAGTGTATTGTAAACACTTTCAAACAACAACATCACATTTCAAACACTTTCAGACTAAGTTATATAACACGAAGGGTCCAACTGTCTTCTTCCTGATGGAGGATAAATACCAGTGTACAGTTATTTGTACCAAACAATGCAGCAACCTATTGTACATTCCCCAAGTGATGATCCATCAGGTAAAGCTAGCAGGCAGCTTGTATTTCTCACTGTGATGATTCAGCTTAGCCAGCAAGCCTAGTAGATGTATTTTCCCATGAGGTGGTTCAGCTAGAAAGCAGGCCTAGCAACACGCCTCCCGGGCATAACCTGCGTGTTTCGAACAAATCTTCTTCAGGCATAAATGTTTCTGGAACTGAACAACAATACATATCATAATATAATATAAATTCAATATCCTTACATAGTACCAGGAAAAACAGGGGGGGGGGGAAGAAGGCTAAGTTTCCTGCACTCACCCACAGCTCTGGAGGGTGGCAACCTTGCCCTGGCACCTGAGGAGTGCCCGGCCGGCACGACATGCTGTGTCATCGTAAGGTGTGTGTTTTCTGGGGAGGCGGCCCCATCCTTGAGGCCGCAGATGAGTTCAGTGCCGTGGATTCAGATCTTACATTTCTACAGGCGTGTCTTTTGGGATTATGGAAACACAATGTGTAAATCCGCTCGAATTTAAGGAACGGGTCGCAGACTGGCTCTCCACCAGTCCGTGCGGAAGGCAACCAGGGCCAGCCTTTTCCGCTCCCACAGATGATACCTCCGTGTTGCTGGGGGTGCTGGATCAGTGCTCCCTCTAAGCTGTGGAGTCCCGTGAGCAAAAACTCCCCTTTGCAAGCTCCTGGCATTCAAGCTGTGAGCGAGTGATTCGGCTGCTGCATAGAGTAGTTTGCTCTGGAGCTGTCCTTCCTGAGCCAAGGCAAAAACGTGTGAGCCGTAGGCTAAAAAACTGTGAGCTGGCTCGTGGGAACTCAGCTTAGAGGGAACACAGGTGGCAGTGGTGGTTTCATGTGAATAGACACATCCGCCTGTTTCCAGACTGGGGCGCCACATGACCAGGAAGGTATTTGGGGGTATGAGCGTTCAAGAATCAAAGTTCCCTTCGTTTCCCAGCGAAGGGAGTTTGGACTCTTGAATGCTTCTACCCAAAAATTCTTCTTGGTCTCTCAGGTGCATCTGGGCTCAGATGTACTGCAGACCACGCCTGGCTACCCTCTGAAAGACGGCAAGGTTCTGTGGGAGGCTTCGCACCCAGAACCCCGAGGAGCCAGCAGGCCGGTGGCGACCCAGGAAACCCGCTTCCTACAGATTTTGTGTCACTCTCCAGACACCGGCTGAACCCTTCACGAGACCAGCTTAGCCGGGGTGCAAAGGTGCTCTGAGAGCCGTTTGCAGATGGATTGCGTTAATTGTACTGCCGGTGGGCTTTCTGGAGTTTGGCGCACCTCTGCGTGGGCGATTTTGGGGGAAATGCCTCGAACCTGTTTCATAATTTCGAACAGCAATTTAAACATGAGGAGGAGGAGGAGGTGGTGCTGCATGAATGAATGGCTTCCCATTTCTGCATGAACTCGTTTGGCGCCTCGGAGCTGGTGTTGCTGTTTCGTCAGGCAGGCAACCGTGAAAACGAACCGTCGCGATAACATTTAAGAGCTGTGTGCAGAGAGCAAGTGTACGCTACAAGATTCAAAAGAACAGCTCTGGCCAGT